GTGAAGTCCGACGAAGTCCCATGAAGTCCGATGAATTCCGGTGTAGTCCGATAAATTCCGATGTAGTCCAGTGAATTCCGGTGTAGTCCGATGAATTCCAGTGTAGTCCGATGAAGTCCGGGAAGTCCGGTGAAGTTTTGAAGTCAGAAGTCCAGGTGTACATATATTTTCTGAGTGGTTACCCCCTCGTTAATTTTGTAAATTTACTTTACAAAAAGAACGTATGTTTCTACTGTATGTAGTTTCTATGCTTAATGCACTCTTTTACTGTTAATCTGATAGCGAATCGGTAAAAAAAAAAAAAAAATAGGGGCCTCAAAATTAATTTCAATTATCTCGTTTTTCTTGTGGAAAAAATTATTCATTAACAATGACGATTGTAATGTGAGTAACATGACAACATATTCACAAACGCATATTCTATATGGCACTAGGAAGCATTAATTTTTTATTTACATGTATTTTGAAAACAACTTTTTTAAATAAACGATATAATAAAATCGAGATAATGCAGTTATAATGTTGTTAGTATATTTGTATATTTGTCTTGTTGTTAATTTCTTAATTTTTTAAGAGATCCTTACAATTTTCCTCTTTTTTTATTTGAAATCTCCGTTTTATTAATATTTCTAAGTGGCATTTCATAAAATTTGTTTCTATATGTAAGTTGGAGAACATTTAAGCAATAATAATATTTGGATGTTATATATAGAAATATGATTTTCGTTTATCTAATCGTACTTAAGGAGGTTCGTTCACTTGCGGGGGTAGGTGGCAAGGGGAGTATGCTATAGATCTGTCTTGGTCGCTGCATTGAACATGTATTCAAACACATATACATGTCATAAGACGAAGTAAGCAGCAATGTAACCTCGTTAGTATTTAAAATGTCAAATAGGCATACTTTCATCACTTTCTTGCTTGTATACAAAAAAATTATATGGTGGATGGAGTTCAAGTTTTGCAAAAACATAAATAAAGATTTGCTCTAATTATTAATTTTTACGTAAATGGAAGCATTTTAAATGTATGTAATTATGTGATATATCAATCATGTAATGCAACTGTAAGATAACATGCATAAAACTCTAATTTTAGTTTTTTTTTCTTAAAAACCATACGGTTAATTGGTTTGAAATTTTAATATGATATTAGTTTCGTTTTAAAGAATATTCTATATAATTTTTAAACAGATTGAAGTATTTTGATTTTGCTATCGAACCTTCTTAAATTATTTAAATGTGTATTTTATCTATATTTTCAATTATTGCAATAACAGAAGGATGTACACAAAAAAATATATTTTCTTTTCTTGATTTTGAAATTGATATGCTTCATTAATATTTCTGTTGATATTTCATAAAGCTTACTTTATAACCATAATCTTTTGTAAATTGGAAAACATTTTAGCAACAATAAGCAATAATGTTTGAAAAATTAGAAATATGATCGTTTTAATTTTATACTTAAATATTTATATTTTCATATTTAAATTATCAATATGTATATTTTATTTATATTTTTAATTACTATTGCGAGAGAGTTACACAACTTCAGTTCTGTATCCCTTGAACTTATTTTATTTTCAATTATTCAATTTTCTCACGATAAGATTGAGATTTCTACGCCTTTCCAATTCATTTAAATCAAATGTTTACTAACTTGATCTATCCGACGAAAATATTTTTCAAAATTATTTCAGAAATATTTTTCGAATTATTTTTCTATCAATATTAAGTGAGAAAATACGTTCAAATTCATATAATAATTTTGAATTCATAAAAATTTAAAAGCAATTTTTATTTCTATAACAAATAACCGCGACTCTTCAAGCAATTTTTATTTCTATAACAAATAACCGCGACCCTTCAAGCTCCTAATATATGATCCGGAATCACTGCGACGATAAATAATTATAATACAAAATTACAAATAGTCTTGTTATTAATTTTTCGTGAGCTCACCATCGTCGCGAATTAAATCATCCCATTCTGTACATACACGCATGTATGCGCGCACGTGGGAGCGGTAGTACAGGGCGCTTCAGCGTCGCGGGCCAGTCCTGGATCGACCACGTGTTAGATGAAGACGGTGCAGCCCGCCTGGCTCTATCCATCTCCGTCCATTGCGGGCGTACACTGTACACATGATACATATACGCGTAGAGACCTGGAGGGGCTGAAACGCGTGAGGTGAGAGACGTCGGTCGAGGCGGGGCGAGCTGAGGTGGAGCCGAGGGGAAGGGGTGAGACCGGTGCGGGGTGAGATCGTGTGTATGCGACGTCGTCAGTCGTCACTCGTCGTCGGTACTCGGTCCGCGGTTGTCATTCGTACTCTCTTCGTGCTATAGCACGTCGGTCGACAGGTGCCACGATACATACGTGCATAACGAGGTGGCGTAGAGCGTAGAGCAAACCGTGTGTGTGAAGGGGGTTGTGTGTCGTAGGTACCCTCTCACGCGCCTGCCGCTGCCGGAGCGCTCGTCATCGTCATGGCTCCGTACGCGTGGTCCTTCCGTGGGAATCTCAATCGGTTCCTCGTCGACGTGCCAATCCTGCAGTGCCTGATCGTGCTGATGGGCCTCTTCAATCTCTCTCTGTGCCTCTACGAGGATCAGGTCGGTAAATTCGATTGGTAAGTAATCGAAGCAACCTCTAAATAATGCAGTGAGGTGTGGAGAAGGAGGGAAACAGAGCGCCGTGGGAACCTTATCACGAGGACCGTTATACCCGTTGCGTTTTTTCCTCTATCACCCCGAGGTGGCTGGCTGACTAGAACTATAATCGCATTCGCGGGATGTTACAGGAGGCAGAACTACGTCGGGAAAATTAAATTCGCCAGCTTCGACACGGTGTCCACGGCGAAGAAGATTATCGTCGCTACCGAAGAGAACGTTATTGCCGCGCTTAATCTGAAATCGGGTAAGTAAAACTATTTATGATCTCTCTCTCTCTCTCTCTCTCTCTCTCTTTCTTATCTTTTTGCACGTTACTCGCACCTGTTCGTTTACGGAGAATGCGCCGCACTTTTTATTTCCGATTTCTTTGGCGTTTAATTACCATTTCTATCTTCCCGTATATCAATGATGATTACAATGATTAAGCACATCTTCACGTGCGCACTTATATTACTGAATTTAAACATTCCACGGTAAGTATCGGTTACGAACCAAGAGATGTAATTTGTATAGATCAGAATAAATGTATTAATGATATTTATGATGTAACAGGCCAAATATTGTGGAGGCGAGTGTTGGAGAAAGGTTATGGCGGGCATATCAGAACACTGGGAGGTGTCGCGGACGGAGATCTGATATCCGTAAGTGGAGGTGTCCCCGCCATCGTTCGTGCCTGGGATTTGGCGACCGGGCATATAATTAACGAATGGCCGATAGCCGAGCCGAATAGCGACAGGTTTGTGTAGAATGATTATCATTTATTATTGAATTATTGTTTTCTCCGTATACATACCCTAAGGTGGTTTTATTGCAACGCCAACTCGATAGTGTCATGTTGTCACATAAACGTTACACAATCGTATATGTACAGTCTATGCAAAATGATTTTATCGAATTACGCTTGTTTTTATTAAATTATTAGTCATATGGAGGGACTAACTTCTGACTGGGACTTGCTTGATAAAACCACCTTAAGGCGGAGCCTTAATTTTATTTCTTGTTCTGGGTTAATAAGAAAGCCACAAGTATGTTTATTCCTAAATCTTTAATAATGAGAGTCGATAGAAGAAAGATAAGGTGTAAGCTTCTCCGATTATTATGTACTTTACAAGGCTAGGGATATATCTAGTCATTTGTTAAAAACTCTTGAAAACTTTGTACATTTGTGTAAAACATAATTCATTGCTTTTACAGACTCGCATCTCCGTTTGTATCGTTTTCTACATTGGGCTTGTATTCCGCTGACAGGTTTTTTCATTTTTATTCAAAGCACAGTCAATAATATATGTACACTTGGTTCTGTAACTATGCATTTTGAATTAGGTTGCTTAAATTCAGCATTTTGTCTTTTTATTCATATGATCACTCCCCTCCTCCCCTCTCCACACACACACACACACACACACACACACACACACCTACACAATAGAAGATAAATATCTGAAGATTTTTTGTTGCAATGAAAAATTAATATCTTATATATGACTGGTTGTACAAAGCTATGGAGATGTTTTTGTGTTACATATTTCTTTTTAAAGCATATGTAGCTGTACACAGTTTATCGTTTTCCAGGATAAAAGATGTAAAGTGGCATATCAAAGATGGAACGTTGCATCATATATTACCTATTTATAATAGCGGAGTGGAAGTAACGTCTTACGATAGCAAAACTGGAGAGAAGCTAAAGACTCGGAGGGTTTCTGCGCCATTTATAACTCGAGAAACGGAGTAAATATTTTTAAATTTAGATCACTTTTTTGCTGTACATCAAATTTACACATTAAATTTATTTATGTATGCTATTATTTTAACAAATAATCTTTTTCCAACGTGCCAACATGTTATTTATTTCGATATTTAAAATGGCTCTATTTTTGCTCAGGTGTGTTCTAGCAGCTCCATACTTGGCATGTTTAAAAGGAGACAGTTCTCTAGCTGTAGTATTCTTAGTACATCTATTCGATACTAATGCACAGTCACAATCAGTTACGATAAATACAATATTTGGGGCTGGCGCCCAAGGGCCGTATAAACTAGAGTCTGTACTCGGAGAAGGACCTGTAATTTCTATTAATGCCGATAACGATCAACGAAAGCGGATTTTAGTTATCGGAGAATTTCCGACTCCCATACAGAAAGACATCGACGGTGATGCAACTCTTTATGTTGTCTCCGTTGACAATGAGAAGATACTTTTGGAAACAACATATAAAAATGGAGTAAATATCGAAACATATATGCTTCTCTATTTTTAAAGAGAACGTTTATTAGTGCAGTTTTTTTCACGAATTTTCTGCTATTTTACTTCCAGAAAATAGAAATAACGGCTACAAATCTGTTATCGTCCGCACTCATACCTGATTTGTCGGTTACTTTGACTCACGCTTCTATACAATCGTCAACCATAATGGCATCCGTTTGCCCGCGGCAAACGAAAGGCGTAACATGTCGTCATTTGTTATCCTCGCAAGATCACAGCATCGCGTTGTTACAACACAATAAACTGGTGTGGACAAGGGAGGAAGCACTCGCCAGTATTGTGGCCGTTGAAATTATGGAATTACCTATGTCTGACAGAGATCAAGCTATCGAAACGGAATTCGATCAGAAAGAGAGTAAGTAAGATTATATGTTAAGTATAAAAAATTAAAAAGGATTTTTTTTCATTTCTCACGTTGAACTTGATTGAATATTTTCTACTCATAATATTTTATATGTAACTATGTTGATACAGCATAACATAAATTTTACTTGTTTCTTTTGTCACTAAATAAAATATGTCCAGAAATAAGATAGTATATCTTTGTTGACTTATAACATATCAAATGTGTGAAACACATTCTTACTCGTACTTCCAAGATATGTCATATGACTTACACTCTCCTAACTATTAAATTACATAGAGTTTTGTTTTAATTGTTACCGGATGGTAACGTGTCAGGTGTCTTCAATCTAGCCTTATGATTATGTGGCACAATTACATATAATATTATTTGAAGGCTATGAAAAAGCTTGTTGTTTTAATTAATAACGCTCTTATTAAAGCGACATATTGTTTATCGACATAACACAACAATTCAATTTCTAATAACAATCTATATACCTGTTAAGTTATATTAATTAACTCTCTTTTGTGAATGGCTGCTGGCAGGTATTGATGTAGACAGTTCATGTAAGTAGTGGAGGCAGGAAGGCTGGTTTTAATGCAGTACTTTTGTTTTTATTGCTATTTACAGACTTACATTTGCATGGTATAACATTTGTGATGTATAGGCTCCTAAAGATATTGAAAGATGTAAGACGTATATATGTGTGATTATCTATATAGGATTCCCTGAAAATAATATAATTATTACATTGCTATCTGCATGACATAAAATATCTACATTTGGATATGGTTGAGTTCGGATGTGTAAAGAAAATATTGTTAACGCAATTTAATTTAATATTATTATATAATTAAAATAGTAATTTCATTGATACGTGATATCTAGCTGTGTAAAAATGCATGAAAAGTTTTTTGATGACCTCTATAATCATCGTATATGTAAAAGTCATTAAACCTGCTGAGAGAAATTTTCATATCGCAATACAACGGCTTAATAAATATAGCATATGCAGTTTGTTATTACTCTACTAGACATCGTCTAATTTCTTATATCCTTCCGCTGTATCATCCAACCTACAGATTTCGATAATACAGTTCATTCGGGGATGTGTGTTTTCTAATTCTACTTTGTTGTTTTTAAACAGGGGACGTTCTAAGTATGTTTCTTCGAAGGATTACGTCACAGATTAACCAGGCCAGAGCATTCTTTCAAACGATACTGGATTTGGTACCTCAGCAATCCAATCAACGTATTGATCTGGTGCAAGATAAATTTGGCTTGCATAAAATGATCGTGGCCGTTACATCGGCTGGAAAGGTATGACTCCATGTAGACCATGAGGCATCTCGTTATTATAAATCGTTACATTCTAAACTGTTTGCAGCTGTATGGTATCGAAACCAGAAAAGGCGAGATTATCTGGCAACTCAGGCTGCCTAATATTCGTGGTTTTACAAAATTGTCTAACATGATGATTTTGTACGTGCAAAGGGGCAGCAGACATTTCCCTCACCCTGCTCAGTGTGCGTTGTTAGCAGAAGACAAGGTAAGAGGCACATTTATATATTCAGGAGTAAATGTATAAACCACATTCACTTCATTCTGATATCGCTTTTTTATCGTTACAATAGGAAACCGGAGAGGGTGTTATATTTACTTTTAATCCGATTACCGGACAGTTCTTGGACGGACTGGTGAAACTTGGTTACAAAATAAAACAGTCTATGTTATTGCACGTAGCGACCGATGACTTTTTACGTGGTATTCTCATTCTTGATGCGCGGGATAAGGTTCATGTTTATCCCGACAGCGCTACCGCAGTTGCAGCTTCACTCGGGAAAAACACGTACCTCTTTACTGCCGATCAAACTACAGGAATATTATCCGGCTTCTCTCTTTCATACAGCACAACTCAGGTTTGTTACATGTAGATGTATACTCAACATATAAATTTATATCAGTTTTACTATATCGATAATCCTGATTTTTAATGGTACAGGAACTAATCGCCCATAAAGTATGGGAGTTGTTGCTGTCGCCAAGAAACCAAAGAATAACGCAAGTCGTGTCGAAAAATCCGATAGAGCGTGTACACTCCCAAGGAAGAGTCTTAAGTGATAGATCAGTGTTGTATAAATACATTAATCCTAATTTAGTGGCCGTAGTGACAGAAGGCATCGGACATGCCCATAAAAGTAAGCATATCCCTGCCCGTCATTGTGTAAGTCGATACTATTTATCGAAGATAAACGTTTAATATTTTCTTATTTTATAGATACGCTTAATTTATATCTACTAGACGTAGTATCCGGGGCAATGATTTTTTCTATCACGCACAAAAGAGTACGTGGTCCAATCCATATTGTGCATTCGGAAAATTGGTTGGTTTACAGCTATTTTAATGAGAAAGGACGTAGAACAGAAATCGCTACGTTAGAACTCTACGAAGGAAAGATACAAAGCAACACTACAGGTGAAAACCATTTTCAGTCCCTGTACATCTGCATTATCGAAAAAAATACTACAATTGGTTGTATATGTTTTAACTTTAAGATGGAAAAAATATTGACTTTTAAGATGTTTAAAGACCACTTATATCTTAATGTTAGAAAATATTTATAGAAGAATGCTGGACACAGTCGAAAAATTTTTATTTTTAAAACTTCCGATATAACTAAACAATTAGAGTTCTCATTACTCTAAATTAGTTTCGAACATTAGCTATTTTTCGAAGATGCAGATATATTTGTACCATCAATTTAATAATTTATATCGATTGTTGGATTGTTGTTTCAGTATTCTCTTCTTTAGCAACAACAAAATTGCCAATTGTAGAAAGACAAGCTTTCATTTTTCCCGCATCTATAGAATATATGCAGGAAACAATCACAGAAAAGGGTATCACAAGCAAACATATAATAGGTATGTAAAATTATGGCTCGATAAATTGAAAAGAAAATTCAATTTTAATTATTTGAATGAGTTCAGATATAATTAAATGGTATGCGTACGTATATATTTAATTGTGGCATTTTTATTTCCAACAGTGGCTTTAGCCAATGGTGGAATATTAGAATTGCCATGGATGATGGTGGATCCACGACGGCCTATTAATCCTGAAATGCGAGAAGAAGGAGTAATACCGTACATGCCAGAGATTCCAGTCCATATGGATGCTATTATTAATTATAATCAAAGCGTTTCTAGGGTTATGGGTATTCATACTAGTCCCAGTGGCCTTGAAAGTACTTGCTTAGTTTTTGTACATGGTCTTGGTGAGTATGAGTATCAAACATTTGACTTTAGACTCGTATTTTTATAAGTGACTTCTCACACACAAAATGATTGCGACATTTGCAGATCTGTTTTACACAAGAGTAGCACCATCTAAAACATTCGACGTCCTAAAGGAGGACTTTGATTATTATCTTATTGTGATAGTACTCGCGGCGCTGTTGATCTCATCGTACATCACCAAAAAATTAGCATCCCAAAAAGCTCAAAAGCAAGCATGGAAATGATGCCTCGTTTTTCTAGAATTGTGTAATATTTATGAATCTGTTCACTATAGGCAAGAATTTTTCCTAAGCATAACTTGTAAGATATACTGTTTTATAAATAGTTAATTTTAAAACACAAGGTAAAACGCTAATACTTTATTATCTTACCTAAAAATCTTTCAATCGTAAATCCTAAATAAAAACATACGTAAAAAAATATATTTTACTTTGTTAATTTGGTACAGAACGCACATATGCGACGATGAGTCTAATTATTTAAAGAATGATGATCAATGTATGTACGAGAGTGGACCATGATCATTGATCGTTATAATATTGATGATTGATTGATCATTAAACTATCATTAGAATAACTGATAACATGCTCAAGAATTGCTTTTTTATTAATTGTACAGCAAGTTCTGTAAAAGGTAGGAAATTTTTTTTTCGTTATTTGTACACTTTCAATATAAACCAACAAACAAAAATCGGCAATTTTTATATACATGGAGACATGAATAAAATTATGTTTATAATGCATTTTTTGCAATAAAAATATTAAAATATCAATATATATGAACAATGGTAAATAGAGATAGACATCTGTTTGGTACAACAAACGAAACATGTGATTATCATATATTAAGTATCATGATAATCTATAATAACGTTAATAAATAAATATTAAGATAATTTTACTTTCACGGTTGCAAAATATGAGAATTTGCGTACGATATATTTTAATTGCATCTTTCTCTGTAATCCATAAGTCTTCGTAAATAATTATTTATAAAGGTATATGTAAGACTATGCATTTTACTTGTATATTATAGGTATTTCAAATTTCTCGCAAATTCTTGTGATAAATTTTCTTAAGAATATCATCACATAGAAGGCTTACAAGAAATATAAAGAAATGTGATTTCAAAAGAATAAAATTGTTCTTACTGTTTAGTAGAAAAATTTATTTATATATACATGCACCTTCAGCTTTTACTTTATCTCACTGATACATTATATTTACATAATTTTAAAGAACTAAAATATTCTTAATTGAAAATACTTCAAGATAATAAGTTGAAAAAGACATAATTATTTGCATTTATATGTGCATTTCTCTTTGAAATAGTAGGCTATTTCCAGACTAGGGAAAGTTGCAAGAACTTTAAATTACTTTGAAAGCTAATTTATTACTTTTTCACTATTTCAATTTCTAATTTCAAAATCAAACAAAAACGATTTATCAGCATGTGTAAAAAATGGAATTAATATTAAATATAAAATTTATATTGAGATGGCGCGCGCGCGCGCGCGCGCGTGTGTGTGTGTGTGTGTGTACAAAGTTGAATGCAATATTTATTATCATATATATATATATATGTATATATATATATATATATATATATATATAAAAAAGCTAATTTGAAACTGAAAGGATTATATGTAAATATCATATACCTATATATAATATATGTCATATATATGTATATCAGTATATGTCGCAGGCTTTTTGTATAATCAGCCTTTTTGCAAAATGACACCTTTTTGGATAACGCCAAGAAAACTAACCTAAACCTAACCCAAACCATTTTCGAAGGCGTTATGCAAAAAGGCGTTTTTTTGCAAAGAGGCTAGCCTTTTTGCAAAACGGCTGCTATATATACATATGTATATATATATATAT